CACTGGTCTCTGAACAGACCTGAGTCCTGCCTGCCTCCATTAAGTCTATCCCTACTCAAGACCAGTTCAAACCCCACCTTCTCCTTGAAGACTTTTTCAGCTACCCTGCCCACATGATCCTACCTCTGGAAGTTCATAGGCCATCTGGCTCTGCTACATCTTGGTAGTTTCAAACTCTCTTATGTTGATGGCTCAGGTAACTTCCTTTAATGCATATTCCTCAAATAACCAGTTAGATGGTAAAGCAGTGGTCAACAACTTTTTATGTAAAGGCCAGATCATGAATATTTTAGACTTACAGGCCACAATAACTCTGTTGCTCAACTCTGAACCCAACTATGCATTTAGCACAGAAAGAGTATTGACAATATTTAATGAATGAACATAGTTATGTTACAATAAAATATTATGGATACTGAAATTTGAGATGTATATAATTTTTTGTTATAAAATAGTATAGTTTTTATTTGTAAGATATTAAAAAATATACAAATCATTCTTAGCTTGTAGTCCATGCAAACATAGGTAGTAGGCTGTATCAGCCTAAGGGCCAGCAGTTTGCTGATACCTGCAGTAGACCTTAATGCAGGGTTGTATCTATTTTATCTTCCTATTTCCCTCACTGGATAGTGGCAGGGCCAAGTGACAGGAGCACAGATTCTGGAATAGTACAAATCTGAGTTCAAGTTCCAGTTCTACTCAGCAATCACAGTTACTTAGCTGTTTGTTCCTGCCCTTTTTAAGCTATGCTTTTTATTGGTATGGTTCAGTTTTTATCTTCATTTATGTTATCCCAATAATGCAGTTTTCTCAACTGACTCCATGGGGAACAGGGATAGGCACTTGGGTAAATGTTGACGTTTTCTGTTGTTGAGCTTCACTAGCGAGAGCATAGGGATTTAAAAAATGTACACAAGTTCTAAGCACCCATTCTAAGCAAATAGGCAAATGTCCTCCAACCCCACATTGTATCTGTTCTGCAAATTGAGACTTCCTTGTTCCATCAGCCCAGATGTAGAACACCTATAAAAACTTACATTGAGTAATATACCACTTATATTAACTTTGAAATAATTATTATGTTCACAGAATTGAAAACTTGGGACTTATTGGATTAATTGCCGAGGAAAGATGACTGCTTATGTTTAGATCCTACCTCCTTCCTGAAAAATAAATTACAATTCTTTTTGAAATTTATATAACATTTTCATATCCGTTATCTTTATTTTACTACTGTATTTTCCATTCTCACAAAAATGTTTTAATACAGATATGATTACTCCAGTGTTATAGTTTAGAGAGGTACAATGGCAGATTTGCAGATGGTGTCCCAGCTAATAAGCTTTGAATTCAAAGTGGGATGTCGAAGGGGCTGTTCCCTGTCCATTACTGCATTCATTCCTAATGGACCACATTATATACCCCAGAAGTCATATCCAAAATTTAATTCTTCATTATGCAAAATATAACATTTGGGCTCCAAAGTCATTTCTGAGCTGATGTGCAAACTTGAAAACTCATTGGGATCACCTGGCTAACATTTTAAAGAGGGCAATACCTGAGTACTATCTTCAACTAATTAAGTCTGAAGTTCTAGAGGCAGGCCTCTGAAGTCTATCAAGCCTCGTAGTTGACTCTAATGTGCAGTCAGGGCTGAAATCCACTTAATTCTCTGACCTCTCTGTACCTGATTAGTTAGCACCCATTTTCTCTTGGTCACCAACTGTCAATCCCATGACTGTCTCAGCCACCAGAAGCCTCTGGTCTTGAGGAAGAAGATAAGCTACTTTTGTAAATGGACTTCCACAAATAGGTAAGTTGCTACTTCTAATTATTTTCAATAATAGCTCAACTTGTGTTTAATTCATTGGGGGAGTATAAGTGATGCAGCAGGGACATTGTGCATAGTTTGAAGCCAATTAAAATGACAAGCAGATGTCATTTAAAATTTTTTAAAAATTTATAACAATTTTTTTTCAGATCCCCAAAATTCCATGAAATTTTCATGCTGATAGAGATGTTAGCATTTTGAGGCAGCAGTGTTGACTATCTCTTTAATTATCTCTGCATGCCTCTTTTTTGGAAGATGACAGCCAGCATGAACATTAAAAAAATAAAACAAAGCCAGATGCAGTGGTGCATGTCTGTAATACCGGTGGCTTGGGAGGCTAAGGCAGGAGGATCATAAGTTCAAAGCCAGCCTCAGCAATGGCGAGGCACTAAATAACTCGGTAAGACCCTGTCTCTAAATAAAATACAAAATAGGGCTGGGGATGTGGCTTTGTGGTCTAGTGCCTCTGGGTTAAATTCCCAGTACCTAAATAAATAAATAATTTTAAAAAGTTAAAAAATAAAATAAAAAACTGTGTGTGTGTCCTGGGGAGTGAACCTAGGGCCTTGCACATGGCAAGCATGCACTCTACCAGTCAGTTATAGTCCCAGCTTTTTTTTTTTTTTTTTTTTTTAATTTTTGAGACAGGGTCTCCCTAAGTTGTCAGGTTGGCCTTGAACTTGAGATCCTCCTGCTTCAGTCTGTCAAGAAGCCGGGATTACAGGCATGTGTTATCATGCCAGCTGAATATAGGAAAATTTAAAGATGTACTTTGGCTTTAAAAACTTTAAACCTTTTTTCCCCCAAGTGGCCCTGAAAACTGGCTTAGCTCTTTAATGGAACCAAACAATCATCATGGCATCAAACCACCATTAGATCCAAGTAGTAAGACAGGGATAATATGTTGGCAAGTAACTCTGCAGAGTTGGTTTAAGGATAAGAAAAATATATGAGAAGTATAATGAGTTCCTAAGAAGAAAAACCTCAAAACATAGTGCCTATCATTAAAATGTTTTAAGTTCTCTATAAAAATAACATATTATTTCTCAAATTACAGAGGCCTCTAACAGTGAAGGGGAAAAAATATTGTTCTTTCCAAAACAGAAATGTTTTTCCACTATTTCTGAACCTATTTAACTTTGAAAGCATTTAGTAATTTCTGTCTTTAAGATTACTTAAAGGCATGCACTCATGATGTATCTTACAACCAGATACAAGTTCTGTGTGCCAAATTTTAATCAAATGCCAGATTACCCAATTACTATTTTTTTAAAGGAGATATACATCTTTATCAACCACATTGAAAAGGCATTTTATAGGGAATCAATAATAATTTTGGTAAGCAGGTAATATTAAATATTAGAAGCTGACTTTGGTGGATTGTGGTCTGCATGTATAATATATCCAAATATTTCCACAGCTACCCTATAAAATTGGGTCCAGTCCTTCTTACAGTGGAGGAGAACGAGTCTTCAGGTGAAAATCAGGATCTGGGACCTGACTTCAGGACATTTTACTTTAAATCCTTGGCTTACATGGAATTTTTCATAAAACTTAAGAGTATGGACCCTAACACTGCCCAGGTTTCAAATCCTGATATTGTCTCTTTTGTAGCTTTTTGACCTTGGACAAGTCATTTACTTTGCTAACCTGCCTGCCATTTGTTTAAATGAAGCTTGCAGAAGTGCCTATGCTTCATTGGGTTTCTGCAAGGATAAAAATTGAGACTGCACACAGTTACCTGAAGTTATATTTCCACTATTATGGTCCTTATTCCTTCGCTTTATTTTATTTTTATGAAAGAAAATATAGGTAGGAAGAAAAACCATCTAAAAAAGGACTGTTTTAATGATCAGTCTGTAGCAAGACATCAGATCTAGGTGTCTTCCTCTAACACAGAAGATGGAAACTATTCGTATTCTTAGCAACAGAAGTTTCAAGATCTCCCTGGGCCTGTTTCCAACCAGCCTGACTAGTTTGCAGGCACTAGGAGGACTAGGTGACCTCCTTAAACTGGCAGAGTCATGCTGAATGACACAAACATCTCACCCAAGAAAGGTTCTTGTTTTCACGGATTGGAAACAGGGCTTAGCTGGGAGTGTACTGATCTGCACATGCCTCAGGGGCTCCACTCAGCGCTTCTAACCTGCAGGCTGGGTTTTGACCAGGTCAGTTTGCACGGCCAAGCTTGCATCTGCCCAGATGACAGGTGAATGATCAGGCCTCAAGAGGCTTGAATGTCATCACTCTGGCTGAGCTTCTGCAATCATCTGACTCTGTGACACAGCACTAAGAAGCCCAACAACTCAGAAAAAGAAAATTAAAACCAAACCAAGCAACACCCACAGGGGGAAATTTCCCTCCTACTTCAGAGCCTGAAACCCAAACAGCTGCTACCTCCCCTGGTGAGCCACCAACAAAAATGGGCAAGGGACCTTCAGGGGGAATAACAACAACAGTCACCCAAATGGCAAGAATCGATGGCTTGGAAGTCATGGTCAGCTTATTTGCTTTAATCCCAGTAGTATTCATTAATTAATTGTGAAAACTCACTTATTTTTTTTTCTAAAATAAAGTTTAAAATGGAAATCAATAGATGTCAACAGGCAGTTTTAGGATTTAGGTAGACAGGGGACTAAGTGCCATTATCACATGGGCATGGGGGTGGAAGTGAGTCATAGAAGGCCACATTGAGATGCTGTAAACCTATCCAGTTTTGTGTCCCCAAGTAAGAATTCCTTAGGGTTACTCAGAGTCAGCCAAAGCAGAATAGGAAAGGGACAATCAGATGCAGAAGGTTTTAAAACAAGCCAAAGTATATTAGGGCTTGGTTCCTGCCGTAGTGTCTCTTGCTCATGCTGCTACCTGCAACACATTCCCATTTGTCTATTGGGTGGGCTCAAGGGACTGCAGTGAATTTTCAGTTGAGGGAACCGGCTCATGAACAGACTGACTTACTGAAGGAGTATGGCAGTCCCTGTATATGAGGGTCGATCTCAAGGACATCCTCACCTAAGACCTTGAAGAGGGAGGTTGGGAACCTTTTTTTCTGCTTGCCTGGAAACACTCAGGGTCCTGAACTGCTATCTTCTGAGGAAACTACTTCAGGAAACCCAAACAGACAATTCAACATGAGAATCTGGATAAGCTTTGGGCTCTTGAGACTTACCCGCACTACGTAGTTGAATCTTCTGGAATCCAGAATGGCAGTTGAGAAGTCCAGTCTGTTGAAAGCTTCTCCCAAAGTGCAGTATCCATGGCGCTAAATGTAAAACAAAGACACAGAAGTTATTCCTGCCATGCAGAGGTTGTTCCCTGGAACAATCCAACTGGACTCTACCAAACAAGCTTGATGCCTGTCTTAGGGAACCTGGGCATTGGTATTTCCTGCACCATGAGTCCCTGGGGGGGCCACCAAGAAGGGTGATGTGTCTGGCAGTTGCTTTTGTTGGGGACTACCATGAGAAATGTCCCTTTCATGACTTAAACCATCTGGGCTCTTTTTCTCTGCATACGAGTCTGGGAAAATATTTCTGGAAGCTGAATATATGATGGGGAGATGACAATGGCAAGTGACTGTGATACATTCCCCAGAGAACTAGATGCACCTGTGTCAACTGTGGCACCAATCTGCTCACACTAATAGCACCTTTTAAAAAAGCCTTTGAGAGGAAGTAAAAAGAAGTTTTGATCTTTTGCCTATGAATGCACAAGGCATTGGGAGTCGAGAGCTCTGGCTCACAGTCCCAGCTCTGCTCTGCATATCTGGGTGGTCTGTTCTGACCCTCTCTGGGCCTCAAACACTGAGTGAACTAGAAGTTTTCCAAGATCCCCAATAGCGATAGAAATCCCATCGTCCTGCCATATTGCCTTGTGTCCTAGTTGTCTGAGCAAGTGCCTGTGTAGAGAGAAACGGTACAAAATGGTTTGTCAAGTGCCATACAAAAGTCGTGAATGCACTGTCTTGTCTCCTCTGACATCATGCTGAGCAGGCTCTGGAAACTTCTATTAGATATAGTGATTAGCCCTTGCAGGACTAACCCTTAACAATGTCTGGAGAGATCTTAGATTAACGGGAAGTACCGCCTCAGGAAAGATCCAGAGCTGCTTCATATTACAGTTGAGAGACGGATACATTCATCTTTATAACACACTTTTACATACGTTATTTCACTGGACTACTGGGGAGTCCACTTAGTGGCTTTTGCTTCTCTCTCCCTGTGGTCCCAAACTCTGATGGCTGGGCCACAGGCTGCTGGCCTTCACCATATGCACCAAAGATGGCAGGATTGGAGGTAAAGCTGCTGCCTGATTCTCTCTGTCCCTTCAGGGAGGTGTAAGGCTAGGCATGAAGGTTTAATAAACAGGTCAGTGCTCACCTCTTTTGTACTTCCTTTGTGAACATAGATCCATTTTTCTTGATGGAAATCTGCAGAAACAAAAAACAAAACACAGCTTGTTTAAAATTGGTCATGTGCTCAAGATTTTAAACTGACTCTTTTTTTCCTCACTTATTCCAAAGCTTAAAAAGTTTCAAAAAAGAAAAAAAAGACGAGGACGACGACTCTAGTGACAATCTAAGAGGATACAAATGCTGAGTTTTTGCAGCATACAAATACTGAAGCTATAATTTTCTTTGTCTAAAGCATTTTAAATCGTCAATAGTCAGTTTTAGTATCAAACCCCAAAATTAAAAGAAAATCTAATATCCAAATATAAGTTTGTTTTAAATGTTAAACCTAAAACTTACATAAATCCATAAAAGTACAACAGATAACATGCAGTTGAAATGGAATAAACTAAAATAATTCATGTTTATTAATAGAGTTTTATACCCTCTGCTAATAACTAAAGCATCTAGATATATTAATTTACAAGGAAAGAGAAAAAAATCTATTTTCAAAGCTTCAAAACACAGTCCAAATAAAAGTAGTTGCTGGAATTGATTTAGCTGACAGCATCACCGTATAATAACTATATGGCCTATGTCAAATACAAGTGACACACAGGGAAAAAAACACCCTAAATAGCAAATAACTTATAAAAAAGATTATAAAGAATAAGTTGATCTTGCTTGCAAAATGCACAGTCAGATTTCTGGGTGCAACTTCTGTGGTGTCTGATGTTCGACGTGGAAATTTTCTCCCCCAAGAACCAATGATAACTCTGTTCAAACAACTTTCCTCTTAAGTTAAAAACAAATGGCTTACATTGAGTTTTGGTTTTGCTATTCAGTATGTCCTTCTTTCTCTTCTTGGCTGCAACATCATAGTTCAGGCTGTTGAAAAGATTCTCCTTGTTGTATACTTCCTTGTTGCAGTAACTATGGGTAACAAGACAAGAGGATGAGCTGTGACAGCTACACTTTAACATGAGTTGTTTCTATAAATAACACATGGGATCATAAAGCACAATCATACAGGCTTCTCAAACATGAGAAAACAATAAAATAATTACTCAAAAGAAGTCCACACAGGCATATACTTCTCTTTTTTAGGATGAAATACTGTCACCTCTGTGTGGAAGGCAGGGATGGGGGCTTCTAATTCTTTTGAATCCTCTAACAAGGCCTGCCATTGTCATTTGATACACAGTACTTCCCTCTCTAAGGGCAGTGCAGGGTGCTACAATGTCACTTTAAACAAAAGCCACAAATGGGGGAAGGGCCATTACTGGTATCACTGTACTGTACAGTGCCTACATTTTCCAAAGGCAGCTCCTCCAAGTTGCTGCTTTTTCTTCTTTTATTTGAAATATATATTTTAGTTGTAGATGGATACAATACCTTTATTTTATTTGTTTTTATGTGGTGCTGAGGAACGAACCCAGTGCCTCACATGTGCAAGACAAGTGTTTTACCACTGAGCCACAACTCCAGACCCGCTTTTTCTTCTTTTAAAACAACTTTATTGAGATATAATTCATATACCATGGAATCCACCATTTAAGGCATACCCAAGCCCATTTTTCTATTATGAGCCTGTCATGTCTTTACTCTTGCAGGGCTGAGGATCAAGCCCAAGGTCTTGTCCAGGCTCTACCACTGAGCCATACCCCTAGTCCCATCATATCTTTAAGAAATGACTGCATTTACAAAAATCTGACATATGAATTTCACTTCTAGCAGATGTTTAGGGTACAGTGCTAGCTGTTTAGTTTCCTTGACCAAAACTAAGCATCCTGCTACAAAGTGAAGACCTTGGGTTCTAACTAAAACAAGGTAAAGCCTTAATTCATAAATTTAGAAGGTCTGAAAAGATACAGAGGCGTATCTATCCAATTCACAGGTCATCAAAGGATGGGCAGGTTCATCTTGGGGCCAGGTGTCCATTTCCTGCAGCAGGCTGTGGTAGGGGTGACAGGTTCTATTCCACCTGGCTAGGTGACCTCAAAGTGAATCTCTAAATAGTTTTCTCAGAAAGGATGAAATATTGAGCTACAGTGAAAAGATAGGTTCTCTAACTCCCTCAACGCATATGAAGTACACAAGGTACGATTTTCAATCACAGTAAAACATCAATTAGGGGTGTTTTTTTTTTTTGGTGACATCATCAATATGTTAGAGTCCTTGAGTTTTTCAATTTTCTCTGCTGATTTAAAATGTGCTTTGATTTATATCATGTTAGACTTGCATCTGTTGGGTCAAATGAGGCCCACCTGTACTCCACGCCATGCCTTGTGAAGGTGGTAGGAGAGAGGGTTTGAAATGGTTTTCAGTGTCTTTGCTGTGACAGTCTCTTAAGTCCCACTTCAATTAATATAATAAGTATCTTACAGGCTTACACCGAAATGCCTAGTAATATATGACACATAACTTTTCTAGACCCAAGATGTGGTGGATCATCAATCATTTGTTAATCTTCCTTCTCAAAAGCATACTTAATACCATTGATTGAGTTTCCTAATGTCTTAGCCTTCTCCTTTTCATTCAGGGAAACAGGATATTTTTAGGTTTCAGATAGGGTAATGTCCTCTGTCAGAGGCACTTTCTTAAGCAAGCCAAGGTTGGATGTTTTGGGCCAGGCTTTGTGTAACATGTGAGCGTGTGTTTGTCCACTTGCATTACTAGAAGGGGTACAAATCACTGGCCAGTGGATTATCTCCTCCAAGGTCAGCAGGAAGAAAGGGGTAGAACAATGACAACAGAACTCTGAGTCCCTGAGGCTAACTTAGGAAATTTTACTCAAAGCTAGGGAAAAGAGAAAAAGAAGGTGGCTGAAGGGGTCTGTGATGTACCAAAGCAAGGCTAGAACATTCTGTGTGCAAAAATACCACATGAAGGCTCATTTTTAAAGACAGTTTGCTTGCGTATATGTGTACATACATACCCCTTCCAAACAACAAAAACCTACATTAGAAATTCCGTGTATGGGGAACCATACAATGAAGCTATCTTAGTCTCCATCATTCAATTAAGGTTCAGCAGAAACTTTGCAGAGCTGGGGCCACAGGTTGTGACCATTCCTTAGAAATTGTAAATACTTATATTTCATCTCATTCTTCTCTAATTGAAAACATTCTTCCAGGGAATTCAAGCATTTGCTGCCTTCACAGAAGCACTAAGAGCCTGCTTTAAGCCCGAGTGACTCATTTCAAAAGGGAGTTAAAAGGAATTTTGCATAATTGATGATGCTCTCTCACTGTAGGATGTAGAAAAGTTTTAACCAAAGGGAAACCCTATACTTCTCCTTTGGTATTAGGTTTTGAATTCCGGAGGTAGGCCTGGAAGGAAGGGCCATGGCATTTGTTTACATTGCCTACTTATATGTTTTCTTTTAAGCAATAATATATTCAGTTAGAGGCTATTTTGAGAATTCAATTACGTCCATTTCAAGGAAATGCAAAGCCAATGGAAAATTACAACTGAAAGTTTTAACACACACACACACACACACACACACACACAAAAAAAAAAAAACCCACCACTTAGGAATCACAGCATTTATTTTTTAAAAAAAAAAATAAACAAAACCATCTTAAGGAGATTGCTTTCTTTACCAAATTCAATAATAATAGCCAGGATGTTGCTATTTTGTAGTCAGTTCTTACTATCTTGATTTTTATAGACCCAGGCCTAGAATAAGAAGTACCTCCCCTGTGCAGCCCCACATCATCATCAAACACAGACCAAGATACTCTAAGACAACTTTAGAAAAGGTGGAAAGATGTCAAAATAATACTATAAATAAGACCACATTAGCAACAGATAAAGGAGGGATTGGAAAAAAAATAGAACCCCATTTCTTATTTCATTTGCAATAAAAAATAAATAATAAAGTCATGTCCTGCCCCAAAGTAGTTACATAGCCTTGATTAAGGCCAGTGAGATTTCGATGCTAATTTTCTGTAAGACATATCCAGATGGCCAAAAGCTAGTCCCAGATTACTCTGTGAGACAAACAGCCTAGTGTATGAAGCTCTTAGAATAGTGTCTTGCACATAGTAAGCACTCATAAAATCTTAACTATTATTTTTATCCAAAGCACCAAGGCAAACTTCCTGCTTCCTGGTCTAGACTTAGCTACACAGAAAAGCAACAGTCAAGTGAGTTTTCAGCTGCAGAAGTGCAGGCTTGGAAAATAGAGCCAACATTACTCATCCTGGGGGTGGATGTGGGTGGTGGTGATGGTGGTGAGGAGGGCAGTATGGTCCCCTCAACCCCATTTCCTTGAAGCATTCTTGGCTCAGACCAATTCATGCTCAGCTCTTGCCTTGAAATTTTAAACTGCCACCAAATTTAACACTTGCCATTCCTCTTCTATCTTACATACTTTCAACTTTTTGAGAAGGGGCTCTGCTTTAAGTTTTTCAGAGCCTTTCATGGTCTTGGGAGGCACCTGGCTGCCCTAGGATTTGTAACATTCTTTTTTTTTTTTTTTGGAGGAAGACAGGGGCCTGGACCACAGAGCAGCCAATGGAGTCCAGAACAGGAGTGCTATGCTTACAAGAATGGTCAACATTGAATAATAACCCCAGGCCAAGAACCATCAAATGCACCCTTCATTCCTTGCTCTTATTGGGCAGCTCACAGACTGGTACTTGGAATTCGAGAATGGTAAAAGGATCCCATACCTCTGTAGTCCTGTTTATGGTCCCCCACCTTTTCTTTGAGGGCCTTCCTTTTGTTTTCTCAGAACAGGAGAAGGCATTCAACCTCACCTGCATAGCCAGGCACTGGGCCCAAACCTGACATCACAGAGAAACCAAGACGGAAAACAGTGGAGATATTTGAGATTACCAACTGAGACCTCAGAAGGCCAACTGCTTTTAAGAAGTTGGCAGACTTCTTTTGCTAAGTAAGGAAGGGTTTGTTTACAATTGTTGGAAAAAAATATACCCTGCAAACAAACAGCCAGCTGTTTTGCTGGGAGACTACACAAAGATTCCCAAACTCTGACTCATCAGAGGACACAGGTGGGCACTATATCAATTGCTCCTATCAGTAACCATGAGTGCTGAGTGTGACAGCTGGAGCTCAGAAGGTGTAAAGTGGGAGGAGGTTCCTCAAAGGGACAAAGGGGCCTAGAAGCTACCTGATCCCAGTTTAGTCTAAACATCTGGGAGTTTAAAACAGCTTCAGGTTCTCCATACTGTGGAGGGGGGGGGTGTCACTATTTCTTGAGGAGAGCACACCAGTTTATCTCAAGGAGCAGTTATTGAATTGCAGGCTCCCCATTTTTGAACACTTCCTCTGAACAGAATCAACCACCACCCTACAAATGTATTTGGGTGAGACAAGGTGATACAAAGCTGGTTGCATCCCTACTGCACCGTCCTAGAAAGAATCTCAACTTTTATGCAGAAAGTCCCAGAATATTAGATCATTATTCCTTAGGGATAAGGAGGGAGGAAGAAAGTTTCCACTCTATCCCCTTCCCACTTAGTGGAGGGAGAATAATTTAGGCATAGTCTGGTGACAGCAGTTGCCTTTATTTTTCTGCAAACAAGTTTTCTGTGAATAAGATTTCTGTATTGTGCTCTCCAACTCCCCTGGGACTGCCTCAAAGCATCTCTAATATAAAGGTTAATATGCTCTTGTCTCTACTGACAGATCTCAGCATTAAATAATTTGTTTCTCTTCATTCACGGACAAAGGGAATTTGATGCATTACAAATCACAAACAAATGGGAGGCTCTGGAGGTCAAGCTGCCAAAACAACCACATTTTCTTGATAGTTTTCTTACAATTTATTGCTCAGCCTTTATCCAAACAACCACTGGTAAATCTCAGTCAGCAGGAACCTGGCCCAGTTACAGAACTCTCCACTGAAGTCAATTTAAGGGTGCAGGGGCCAGTGGTTTAACCAAAGGCAATGGGAAAAGACACCCAAGGGTGACTCAGCTGCAGCAGCCCCTCCTCACCCCCATCAGCTTTCATCACCTTCTTCACTAGTCAAATGATTTCTCTTATTGGTCAAGGTCAGCCTCTCCAAGTGAACATGACTCTTTTCAGAACCCAGGATCCCTCTGAGAAACTGACAATCCTGGATCCTGTTCTCAAACATTCAAATGGTCCCACGACCATTTGATTCAGGGCCACATAAGTTATTCTTTGTATTTGTGTTAACGAAGCTGAGCATGGAACTCAGAGGATCTCAGATTTTCCACCAGCCTGGCAGAACTCAGGGGAGACCTCAAGTCCCCAGGGGTCTTTCTGCAGCTGGCAGGCATCCCTAGAAATGGGAGTGTGCTCACAGTACCAAGACTGATGAAAGGGCCACTTAGAAAACAGGTGGCTAGTGCTTCGTCTGCCCCCGAAATGGGGTTTGTGGGTTTCATCGTCTGCCTCTGAGCAGCCTCTAGACATTACCATCACCGAGGAAGTCCGCCCAGGAGGCTGCTGCCCCAGGGACCATCTGGCCGCCCCTCCAGATTACTCATTTTCTCTGCCCGCTCCGCTGTCGCCTGTGCGTGGGAAGAGCGTGGGAGCGCTCACGATGGGACCCACGTCCAATCGTCACTAGACTTATGACTAACGCGACTGGACACTTTGAGCCCCGCCACCCCGGCGATGAAAGGTGCACAGCCCACTCGCCCGCGCCTGCATAAGTGCAAATGCCTTTGGTCTATGGTGTCCAAAGGCAGAAGGTGCCTGAGTTGCGTGCATGTTTGTGGACAAGATCTGCAATTTTCAGGTTCCAGAGGGATCCAGGGTTCTGTAAGAAGTCATGTCCACCTGGAGAAGCTGAAATTCAGTAGTAAGAGAAACCAAATTCAGGGTCTCCAGTGCTCTGGCGATTTCTGCAGAAGTCCGGGCAACCCACTCCCACACCCTCGGACAGGGCCCACCTCCACATCCTGTCCCAGCCCAACCTATCCTCATTCATCTGCCCTGCGCGCCCCAGGTCAGCCCAGGTCAGGTTTGCCTGGCTAGAAGGTGGAGGGTCCCCTCACCTGCTGAGGTCGCTTACGAAACTGCCGCTCTTCTCATCTAGGAAACGCTTCCAGCCATCGGCTGTCTTCACCCAGCTCTGCCCGGGGGATCTCCAGTCTTGCCCAAGGAATGGCATGGCACCGAGAGTGGACGCCACCCACTGACTGGACGAAATGACAGACTGGACCGGCCTGGCGGTGTCGGAGACCAGCCTCCCCGGGCGGATGCTCCGGGTGCAAGGCCCGCGATGTCTGGAAGTGCAGGGCACTGGCGTGGAGGGTTGAGGGTTTGGGGGTGCGGAGCCGGTCCCCTGCGCTCTCAGAGGGCGCTGTCTCTGGGGAGGGTCGCGCGGCGCGTCAAGCTCCGGGAGTGCTGCGCGGCTGTCGGGGCCACAGTATTTATCCTGGGCCGCTGGCCCCGGCTCTTTGTTGCCGGAAGAGCGCCTGCTCTTAGCCCGGCCCCCCTCCCCAGGCCACGTGGCTTTGTTTATGGGCTCGGCTAGTTTTCTGAGGCGCCCGCGGCTCCCGCTCCACTCGCCGTTGCACAACCGCGCGCCCGTGGAAACTTGAGGCTGCCTTGCCAGGCCAGATCTTCCACCACCCCTCAGTCCCCTGGCACCTTCGCGCCCCCTCCCAGCCCCCAGGGCGCAGCTGCCGCAGCCCGAGGAGCGAGGCCTGGCGCTCGGGAAGCCGCGACCGTCCTCCTGCGGCTCCCGGGCTGGCGGAGAGCTGGAGGAGGCCGGCACGGCGCCTAGGTCACACTGCAGGGCAGGTGTGGGGAGGAGGACCGTTCACCTCCCTCCCAGAGCATCAAGATCGAGCCCTTCAGGCAGATCAGTTCTCGGGGGTCAGGCTCAGCGCAGCCGGGGGCAGAGCAGGGGCCAAGCCTCCAGTCCTCTCTCCTGGCTAGGATTCCCCCACCCCCCACCCCTCGTAAGGATCCCGGGTCGGAGAGTCGGGAGGAGGGGACAAACTCCACCCCTCCCCACCCCCAAGCTGTCATTAACAAGCCCGCTGTAGGCCTGATTCCCCGGATGGCAAGGAAGGGGGAAGAAGGAGGCCCAGGAGGCATCTGCTGACATAAGGATGGGATTGGAGAACAGAGCCCCATCCCACCCCGAGGACCCTAACCGAGCAGCGCTGGGCTCCTGGCTCGGCACCGAGCAGCTGGGGGGCAGGGTTAGGGCCTCTTAGCCCGGGTCA